CCAAACAAATGATGATGATCATATTCTACTCCTATGCCTTGTGAGGATGAGGGTAATTGATGCTAATTTAGCAGAGCAGAATGCAAGCCTTGAAACCTGAGGAATATGGAATAAATAAACATAAACTGTCCAAAAAATGAGTCATGTGCATGCATCTACAGTTCTTCAGTTACACTATTGCACAGAAAATATTTTTTTGTGTGTGATGCATGAATGGTTTAAATGCCCTACAAACTCATTTAGCCAAAAAACAAATATCTAAAAAAATGTCTGCCTGATCTTATCTTTAGCTTAGCTAAGGGTTTGATAGAGCATATTCACAACAACACAAGTTGTGAAATGCGTCGTTCGAAAATGTATTTACTTTTAAACATTTACAAAGCTAAAATTTGAGACAGAAAGAATGAGAAGAACAGACCAGAACAGATAAAACTCTAACTCTGACAGAGAAGTCTTTGTGTTTATGTTAATAATGTGATACCTTACAGGTTTTTTTTTTTTTTCATTTTTGGAGTCACTGAACAGTAAAATGAAAGCCTGTTCTGAAAGGATTTTGTACTACAGCTCTCTGTCTTCATTCATTTAGCTGACGGGAAACAAACTCAAACCAATGACACAATCCCTTCCTCGGATATGAAACATGAACGCTGTTTTCACACTGAACAGAACGAAAAGCACATGCCACTCTTACACACTCACACCTTGTAAAATATGTAGATGTTTAATATTCATTCACGATACGCTATGTCTCTGCAGCTGTGCCACGATGAAGATTCTGGGAGGCGATGACAGCATGAGAGCCACGAAGGCCTGTCGGAGACATGAAGGTGGAAAATAACTCACTGGCTTTATGACTCAATCACACACAATCAGTTTGTCCACATCAGGACACTGCAGGCTCAGTTCCCAGCCCTGAAGGAGAAAATATTGACCTTTCTCCGTAATACATACATTTACCTTTTGAGCATGTTGTATACAGATAAAGGGAGTTTGAGCCACATTTTCTTCTTATTATTCCTCCTATTATTCTATAATGTAAACAGCTCACCTTTAATGAAAAAAGAAGTGTTACTTTCAGTTCATATAATGATATAATGCCCTTGCAGGGTGGGTTTTCTTGTCAGAAATTTGGCAGGTTATTATTGGATATGCGTCTTCTGTGTGCTCTTGATATTTTGAAACCATTATGCAGACCAATGGCAAACCACATTTCATCAGAGTGTGTAATCTTCCTCTCCTACATTCATCACAAACAACCAGGCAGGAAGCCGCTTCAGTAGAGGGATCTGGGAAGAAAGTCAGAAAAAACACCACAACTGTTTGGTTCAGTTGTACAAAACTGACTGAGACAAATTATCTGGTAAGCTTAACTTTGAGTAAAACATTTAAAGGACAAATACGCCACATGAACAGCCATTACACCCAAACATGTGCCTGCTGATATCCATAGATTGACTAATTAAATGTAAAATTTCCTCCAAATTCTTTCTGCAAGATTTTTACCCATGAAAATTAGCCGTAGCAGTGAGTCATTTTTTTTCTCAGTGCCTGAGCCAAGTGAATATCAGAAATTGTGTGTGTCAGAAATTTACATTCCCTTTCTGCCAAAAAATGTGCAGCATTAGTTTGAAGCAACATTTGGGGCAACTTGAAATCTTGTGAAAAAAACTAAACAGTGGACAGACATAAGGATTAATTAGGCTGTAACAGCTGGAGTCAAGACAACTGCAATACTGGCGAATAAATTCATTTTACCACCTCTTTTAACCACTTTTTAAGTTGTACTATTAATGTTAAAAACACTCTTTACTACCATATATGGAAAATGTTTTATGTTTAAATTCCTGCTTTGCTGATTTGATGTGATTACTTATACTTAAAATAAATATATATTCCTTAAAATAAAATTCACCATAACATAATTTTTGTTTGCTTGGTCTTTCTATGCCAAGATATTGTGGTCTTGATTTTATGAGAACACTAACAACATAGTGTAAGCTGTCTTCTGACGGCAAAGCAACACCGCTTTCAGCATTGATCTTGTTTTCACTCAGAGATCTGACAGAAATCTATGCTCAGCAGATAAACACAATGCAAGCATGCTTGCAGGTGTAAACAATCCATCCTGTTATCCTCAGAACAGCATTAAGTAGAAAGACACGAAGAGACCTTAAGTAACAATAGCAGGAAGAAACAGTGCTGTGCTCCACAGGCCCAGGATAAACACTGGGTTACAGTAGATTGTTTATCTCCACTTTGTTCAGCAGCTAATAGAAAAATAAATTTGATCATAATTCTCTGACTATTAATACTTAATTGATTGTCATAAAGAGTGAAGTTTAGCAGCATCTTGCAAATGCCGCTGCTGAGGAAACCCATGTTGTTTACCAAAGCATTCGCTAATTAGAAATCGTCCAAAAACAAAACTTAATTTCTCATCACCTACAAGCTATCTCACATAACAACTAAAACTTAAAACAAATGATACAACCTATGAATTTGACTGGTTGTTCAGTCAACTTATTGCTCCCATTGCTGTGAATCATACATGTGCTGAGTATAAAAAGGACTTACTGCTCACGCAAACATGAACGTTTTAGATGCTTCTGCTGTTTTGCAGAAACTCTCCAAAGCAATTTAAAACATTCTGTCAAACATTTAGGGGAAAAGGAGTGCTGTTGCATGCACAATAACTCTTCTGGTCAGGACTAGAGCAACAACAACAACAACAAAAATCTACATTAAGAATTACAGTTGTATGAATTACAATTTTTTGTTTAAGATTGTCGTTCACCACCAGCAAATTATAGGGAAAATGGGAATAGAAAGCCATTAAATCCCTGGTTCTGGTACCTGTTTGATAGGTTTCCAAACTATTTTTCTGAATTATCTTTCACCAGACCTTAATATATTGACTTGTAAATCTTGTCTGTGTAAACCTCCATTTTAGGTGGACACCTTCCTACCTCTAGTTTTTTCTTGTCTGTCTCACGCCAGTAATATTAACTGACTGAAAACAAAGTAGATTGAGAAGTTTTAAATTGTAACTTCATAGCTGCACAAGCATATTATATACTTTTACATAATCAGTGTTGGTTTTAAAATGATAGTTTGGGATACTGTTGTCTGGTCATGATATGTACTGTGATGCTAAAGTCTCCATACATATGTTGGTCAAGTTTATTTGGCAGTCTTTAGTCAACCTCTAGTTAAAAAAAAAAAAAAAAGAGTTAATCACAGAATTATTAATTGATGTGGCTTTTAAACTGGGAGCTGGACCAAACGACGAATCAATACTTAATCTTTTAGCAAGGTCTCCTTCTTCATCAGTCAAAACACTCTGTAACCAAAGAACTTCTCTATTTAATCAGCGTATGCTTTCGCTTCTCTATAATGTCTTGAGCGTTTAATGATACAAAATACTTAGTGAGGTAAATTCATATTTCACATACATAAAATTTTATTCTTTGACCACTTGCACAAATATAATACAATATATGACAGACTGTTTACACCTGAATGTGATCAGCTTCCACTGACCTGTTCATACTTTACATAACCACCGTGAATAGAAGAGTAAAGAAACATATTAATTTGAGCCTTTCCAAGAATACATTCAGACCAAGAGGAGGAATGACCCAAACCTATCTTTACAAGTCAGAGTTTGTTAAAAGACAGATTTTACTTTGAAATGAAAATTGCAATATACATCAGTTCTGCCGAAACCAGCCATTACTCATTTGTTTTGAGTGTGCAAGCATTCCCTTCCACTTCTGCAGGACCCGTATGAGCGCCGTGCTCCCAGCTCAATTATTGGATGTCTACTTGCTCTGTGACAACCCTCGGCAGATGCTGATGGAAAATAGCTTCTGCCTGCATTTTTTTTTTTACTACCCACTCAACGGTAGAAACTGGCTGGGGGCAGAACAATTATCTGACACAACAAAAATGCTGCTGTAGTGCTCGAATTTGCTCTGAGGTCCACCGAGGCTTTGAAATAAAGGACAGAGCTCTTTCTTCTTTACGAACTATATTGGCATGAATTCTGGGAATGTCCTGTGGTTCTGTTCTGCTTAATGCCAGAGTGGGACTGATTTGTGCCGGCCTTTAACCTCTGTGCTCCTCTGTTTTTCTTCAGCAGCCTTTTGGCTGCTGATGTATTTCCTCTTAGTGTAATACATCCACATATCTGAAATAATAACATCAAAAGTATTCATATCCTGTATAAGCACACATTCAGAAGAAGGCTAAATTATGCATATAAACACAGATGTGCATATAACATTTAGCTGTTATAAATGAACGCTGTTCAAAAAGTAATTCATACAAAAATCATGTTAAGTAGCTCACGCAGATCCGCTAGGAACTCAAAGCTCGATTAATGCTCTGTAGGTGGTCATCGCTTTTTATCTACAAGCAACTGTACCGCTAACATTAGCGTCTAAAAGCTAACTGGAGAAGCTTTGTTCTACTTTCAGGATGTGGTTACATGGTAAACACTGTCCATGGAGAAATATGGCGCCTATAATCACTACCACCTTCTAACTCACATTTGTACGGTATTTGATGTCACCTTATGGCATAGGTTAATACTTTGTGAATGATTCTCATAAGTAGGTAGTTATAGCTCTACATATCTGCTAAACTGTCAGTGTAATACTGCAAAAACACACTGCTTTGAAGGTGCTGGGTCCCACTGAGTAATGCTGATCCATTATGAAGTAATGGAAATGTGGCTTCATTTGGTTTGTTTTTGCATTGATTATAGCGGCACATGGTTGGCACTTTTTCTACACACAGTTGAAGGTGCCTTGCAAAAAGTTTTACCCCTTTGACTATTTATTTTACATTTTGTCATATTAAAAGCACAAACTTCCGTCTGTTTATTGATATTTTATCAGCTTGAGACTGTTGTCTTTAATTTTGGCAAATCAACCAAATGTTGATGCATGTTGTCTTTTAATTTGCGAATAAAAACATCTGAAATTTATTCGTCATATCGAATTTTTTCTGTAAGATGTTAATAACAATCAGCAATGTATTGAGAAATAAATTTGGACACCCCCCATAAATTCTCGCTTTAAAATGTACACATATCTTATCGTAGTAAGCCAACGTTTTGAAAGTGGTTTGCATTTTTTAAACATTTAGCTCGGTGTGCTTTCCATCACTGAGCTGAGAGCTGAACACCATGGTTGGATCTAAAGAGCTGTAACCTTTAAAGTGAATATCGTAGGATCTTATGAATCTTATACTGAATTTACTGTGCTCACCCATCATGAATTCAACCGTCTGTCAAATAGTTCTTGAACAAATTATAGCTCAACAAGAACTGGATCCGGCAACATGACGATGACTTAAAAACATATCAATAAATCCAATAAATCCTTAGGTGATTTAATGAATTTAAATCCATTAAATCACAGTGACATCAATGCTCTTGATGTAACTATGTACCTGAAAACTCACACTTAATATCCCAAACAGACCTTCCAAATGGTGGGAGTAGCTTTATGCTGTTGGGATGTTTTTCTTTCAGAGAAACACTGAAGCAAGTCAGATTTGATTGTTACAGCAAAGCAGAGCATCTAAAGGAATATTTCGAAAGGGCAATGATAGGAGAAAATCTTAAAGTAGCTAAAATATTATGACAGTGGCATGGCTATAAATGTGTGCCACTCTTTTCAGAGAAATATTTTTAAAAATTAGAATAAAAACCTTAAATATTCTGCCCTCAGTTTGCCAATAATGTGCTTCTTTCTGTTAGTCTTTTACATAAAATTTCAACAAAATACGTTGAAATTTGTGTTTTTCTAATGCAACAAAATGTGAAAAGGGGTATTAATGCGTTCACAATTGTGACCAATATAAAACTAACACTCAGCAAAAACCAAAAGTGCCAGGTAGGACCTGGGGTGAGCAGCTGCCTTTTCCCATCCACAATAACTCTGTGGTTACCTCACTGTAAAGTCACCAGAATGTTTTTTTCCTTCCTTTCTCTGTACAGTTTCATTAAAATCAGTATGAACAAGATAGCAACATACACGCACCAGAGCAGAGCATATAGAGTACAAAAAGCAATCCCTCCTGTCCTTCTTGTTCTGTGTCATTTGGTCTTGTTTATTGTGTGCGCAGTCCGATGTCCAGTTTGTTGTACCACAAAACACACATTTGTCAGACGGCAAACACTGAAGCAGAGACTCACGCCGGTGTGTTGTTTTTTGTTTGTTTTTCTTGTATTTCTTCTATTGTAGTTGTTTGTGTATTCTTGATATTGTTTGTAAAATTGTTCAACAGGCAGCAGCTTCATATATTAAAATGACAAAACATCGAGAACAATCCATTCACAAGACTCACAGCACACTGAGCATCCTGGTCTGGATGCCTGCCATACTGCTGTCATATTACAGGGCTGAGAGCCGCTGCGTCTCCCAGTGACACTGATGCCTGATGACTGCTCCCACGAGTGAATCAGTCGGCACACCGCTTCAAAACCCAACGAGGGCTTTCAGTCAGAGCTTCCTTCCTAAAGTCCTTTCTCCTTGTTTCTTTCAAAGGTGGCTCTCAGCGTTCTCTCTCTGGCTGATGTCCTCCATAAGGGTGCAGTTGCTGGTTCCTTCGTTCTGCTGCGAGCTGGAGTTTTCCGTCTCCTTGCCGTTGTCCATCCCGTTGTGGCAGCGAGCCACGAGCCACGTTTGCTCTTCGGGACTGCAGACCGGGCCAGAAGATTTGGCGATGTCTGGGAGGTGGGGAAGCCGAGGGATGTGGTTCAGCAGGCTGCCCGTCTTAGTGTTGTTGGAATTGCTGTAGGTGTGGCGATATTCCTCCTCGATGTTCCTCCCTAGCTTCCAGCGCTTCCACTTCTTCAGGATCTCAGATTGCACCTATGGAAATCACAACAGTTTAAGGACATGTTAAGAAATGCGACAATATAAAAATCAGAGGTTGGCAACATTTAACGTAGCTCAGAAAACTCACTTCTTTGTTGACAAAACAGTACAAGATCGCCACCAGGAGACCCTGAGAAGACAACGGATATGAATGCATAAGAAATATAAAATAACAACAAAATGGATATTAAGTTTTTTAATCAGGTTAGTAATAATCGATGAGCGGCAATGACTGCATGCATTTGAGAGACATCTGTAGTTTGAGAAAAGGTGCACCTTTGTTTTGTTTTTTTTAACTCAGAAGATTCTCTTTTACACAATCTTCCGTCCTATGTGGTTTATTTTTACAGGACAGGTGTGGAAGTTTAAAGGTGAAGAAGAGTTTAAACTAGAGCCATATAAAGTCTTAAAAACTCTTTATTCTTACTGCTAACGCTTCATAACTGATTTGACTAAGACGTGTAAATGAATGTGTTTGTTCTTAAAAACATGCTCCAACCTGGAAGGAGGAGAAAAAGAGGTCAATGAAGAGCTTAGTGAGATGCAAATGCAAGCTCTTGTTGGTGGTCTCCTCAGGCAGGAAGATGAAGATAATCTGATGGATACCCAGAAGAGGAATCAGTGTTAAAGTTGATTTCGCCAACCTGAGATGTAGAAAAAGAACATAAACTAAGTTGCAAATAAGTAACAATAATTAAAAGGATCAATTTAATTATCTAAACTTACCTGACTTTATAATCTGTGTATCTCATTTGGTGTGCTCGAAGTTTTGAGATGAGAATTTTGATGATATGTATAAAGATAATAAAGTTGATCTGTGAAAAGATAGTGATTGTCAAAAACTGCAAAAATTGATTAAAAACATAATGAAATGCTTAAAAAGAAAGTTGCAACGCATCTGTTGCTTCCTGAAATTGCTTTGCTCCCTGGAAATATTGTAAAATTGTTGGACCTTTTCTTCTTTTTCAGGGACCTTTTTTTGGTTGTTAAATGATAACATGACCCTGCATTATTTTTCATAACTTACAAGTTTCCATGAGCTCAACTAATCTTACAAACTTTAGAAGTGTTTAATCAAAATCGTCTTGCCACTGACCCCAGCAGAGAAAGACCCTGCTTGGTGGTAAAAGTAAAATCTTAGTCTTTCTGATTCAAGAGGCCCCTAATGTTGTTATCCAATTTTCTGTTGCGCAGTGATGAATAAATGTAAATATTGTAGTTAGCAAAATGAGAAGACTTGGGCTTCCATTGACGTTAACATTTGTGGAAAACCCAAAGATGTCTGTTGTAAGCTAGGAAAGTCATTATGCAACATCCAACCGAGTGAAAAGCTCTGCTGAAGGAACATTTGATGATAAATACAGATAGAAGATTTCTCAAGAGCAAATGCTTAAGTTTCCCCTGAAAAGTCAAAACATACATAAGCATCGGGAATAAATCCTCCAGATTAAAACAATATATTACACAACTTTGTTGGAACTCTACTGCCTGTGAGACAATGTGAAGGGAAGAAAAAAATCTTGATTCACTCTAATCTGAGGGATGCATCATCACTGCATATATCTCTAGAGGCAGAGTGACGGCTAGGGCTTAACAAGTGCTTTGTGAAACACTTCACAAACTTTAAATCTTTCCATATTTTTCATGTTACTATCACACGCACTTCAGTGTTTTTTATTGGTGTAATAAAAAACAGACAATCTGAAAAGTGTGCAGTGGTTGTATATTCATCCTGCTCTCACCTCGACACTCTTCCAGAAAGATGAACACAAGACTGATAGTTGCCCAGTCAGCAGATTCTCCTACCTGCACTGTGAATCTCTGGAGCTCCTCCAGAGACACATTGTACTTCTAGCCATTTCTCTAATTAATGTGCTCCTTGCGAGGCTATTTAGTTTAGATGAGCAACCAAGTCGTGGCAGGTTTGTGGCCGAACCATTCCTTTTTCATTTTCAGATGATGGATTGAACATTGCCCACAAAGATTTCTAAAGATTAAACTTTTCCATCATTTCATTCCCGATCTCTCTGCTGTTATCCCAGCATTTTTGTGATGCATTTTTGTTCCCTAATGTTATTAAGAAAACCTCTAGGGAGAACAGCTGGATTTATACTTAAATAACAACTTTGAAACAAGAAGTTGTGGTAATGACTCTGCAAAAGTTTTCAAAAGAGAAAAGAACCGCTCTGATGAGTGATTGATTCCAGTCGCCTGGTGACTGGTGATTATTGCCAGTGAATCATTTTCACCAAAATATTAATCATAATTATTATTTTATTTCTGCTTATGACAATGTTGTAAAGATTGGTTTAGTTAATTAAACTTGAAAAGAAAACAACCAAGGAAAAAAACACTACAGGTGGGCTTTGCATTTTCTGAAATTAGTCCAGTTATAAAGGACAACATATTTAAATCTTAAGGGTTATTTATCCACTGCAAGTAAACAACAGCTTCTTATCTAACTTCTAACAATCTGGTCCAGATACTTTAAAGCTTCTGTCCTTTCTGCGTAAACACAGTTCTTATTGTTTTACCTAGCTTACTTTATGCAGGACAAATGGGAACATTTAATTAAACAATCATGTTCAAAACAATCACAGATTCTTAGTTCCTAATAAATGGCTCTAAGAAAAAGGATTTGGCTTCAAATGCTCTGACATTAAAGAAGAGATTATCTGGTTAGTATGCAAGCAGCAACTGCAGCTCATCTATATAACAACTACATAAAAAAACTGAAGTTTCTTGTCAAACTGAATCTGTGTCTCTGAGCAACACATGCAGATTAGATGCAAAACAATTAATCACTGGAACATATTTCGGCTCTTCCACGTCAGCTGGCATTTTTTTAAAGAAACAGTCGCCACTTTTCTGATGAACATGCATTTGAATGTGACCTTTAACATGTTCATTTTGCGAGGATTAAATTAGGGAAGTATTCTGGACTTAATTTGGACACATGACTCTAATCTCTAACTGTTTAGAGCAATATGGAAGCTAAAATGTTTATTCAAAAACATTAGTAATAGGTAATAGATTTTTAGGATAAATTTTTGGATAAGTAAGTAAGTTGAACATGTTTTGTTAATAGTTTGCCAACTCTGGAAACAAGAAAACAAGAAACACAAAAACGGTGGGATCAGAATAATGAGGGAAACTCTGGAATGAGGACCAGCCCCGCCATTCCTACAAACAACTCCGACACAGGAATTCCTGCGGGATACAGGCCACTTAGCAGGACGATTAATGCATGGAAAATGCCAGGATGTCTGGCAGCATGACCGATTGGAGCAACATAAATGCTCTGAACGGACCCTCAAAAAGCACACGATATGTGTCGCTGAATAAAATGCATGATAATTGTATTTGTTTAACCCGGAATCCTAGAAGGCCTAACATGCTTCCCAGACGTTATATCTGAAGCACAGCCAACCTTTCTCACTTCATAAATAAATGAGCTGCTTTTAATATTGCATGGGATACAATTTGACAAAACCACTATGCAGTCAAGTGGAAATGCAAGAGTTTAGTTGTGCATTTGGACTTTTCTTGGGATTACATTTGTGCTGAATATGAACAAAAAAAAAAGAAGGATGTTGCAGAAAATTACCACAACGCCAAGCAGTATCGGTGCTCGAATTATCCACCAGATATTCATGTCTGTGTTTTGCTCCCAGCACCTGAAAACAGAAACACTTTGAAGGAAACTGAAGCAACGACAGGACATTTCCTACATGCTTCTTTGACATTTGCTCTGTAATTTATAGCTTCTTTGTTCTGAGATTTGCAGCTGAGTCTCATGTTGGCTGATGAGACGTTTTCTCAGCATTTAGAAAGTGTGGCTTTGAAATTCCTGTCCCTCCGTTTACCGCTAAGCAGCACAAGAGGGGCTTGACGATGAACATAAAATATGTCTGACATTTTAATGTTTTAACTCCTCACCATGAGATAATTTAATTTCGCCTCAGAGCAACAACAAGCTGCAGTAAATTTTCATCACACATTTAGAGTTCATCAAACCATCCTTTGAAAACATCGTAACATGATCACATAAAAATATTGCTTTTAAAATTAAAAGTAAAAGAAGAAACACTTACTCTTTATTTTCATATAAATATTTAGAGACTGCCCAGGGAACAAGGAATATTAATGGTGTTCCTGGAAAAAGAAAACCCCAAATAACAAAAAACAGATTATATGCTGAACTTGCAGACACACATCCTCATATCCAGAATAGGCCAGCTCACCCCAACCAATGCACAGGTAGATTTTGAAGTAGTTCCTCTCCGTGAACACAGTAATGACCAGCAGGTTGTGGAGGTAGATGCCTTCCACCAGCAGCCAGTAGCTGTTGGCCATGATGCTGTATTGCATCATCACCAAGGCAGTGCGACAGCTTATTGTGGTCTGTAAGAGAGCAGAGGGAAGTTTCACAAAACTACACATGCATTTTCAGCTGAACGTGGTCAGAACAGAGCCGCTGCAGATGGGATCTCCTTCTGGCAGCGGGATTCAGGCGTTGTGCCGAAGGCGATCGGATTCCACAAAAGCGGCGACTTTAACAGCCAGCTGTGTCACTGCTCAGCACACAATGGAAAGCATAGTCTTTCTTTTGTAAATAATTAGCTTGTATTACTATCTTAAAGCTATTGACTTTTGACATGACCTGTCAAGATATCTGTGATGAAGTTGCACATCTTCAGCAGAATAACAAAGGCAACTAACTAACTTTTGACTCACTTATGGCTGAATGAGGTCAGGAAATTTTACGTTAACACTGCAGGTGTCCATTTAAAGTGAGAGCATTTGTTTTGATTGTCAGGCAGAATCTCAGATTAAAGCTTCCTCCTGGTGAACCAAGTAGGACTCAGCTGGTCTTTAAGGCTGCTGCTGCATCACCTCTCATCATACGTTCTTGTAACATCAGCAAAACGTTTTATTTTGCTACAATCTGACTTATTATTGATTACTTTCTTTGGACTTCTTTTACATATTTCTCTGTGAGTTTTTGATCTTCTACATATTGTTATGTATTTTTGTGTAATATTGTTTCTTTGTAGATCTCAGTTCACGTTTTAATTTGCCTGGTTTGTCTGGTTCTTTTTTGTGTGCAGCATTCCATTTACTTTCTGTTTTTGCTACTTCACCTATTTCTCAGTTTTTCACCTTTTATGTGGTTTTTGTTTTCTGGGTGTCTGCTCCTTCTCAGCAAAAACCCAGTAATTTGCCCCACTTCTCTTTTATTCCAGTAAAAATCTTCACCGGTGCATTGTCAGATGACTAAATATCTTACTAAGGTAGACAGAGAATAAGTCCATTGCACAGAATTGAAGTTATAAAGAGATACAAAAGCAAATATGGGAGAAATAATTCAGAAAATTACATAATTAACCTCCGGAAAAGATTGTCTGTGTTTTTATGAATCCTGAACTTTGAACTATGGAATGGTTTTCTTCGAAGTACTCTTCCATACTTACCAGCAGCTCCCCTGGGGGTATCGATTCACTGGGGAACTCCGGCTCCCTGTCTCCGCTGATCTTTTGCGATGTGAAGTTGGCCTCCAGCAGAGCATCTTTGATTAGGACCGAAAGGGCTCGCAGGATGAAGGAAGCAAACAGGTTCATGTGGATGTTGTTCCTCATGCAGTGAAGTTTCCTGACAAAAACAAAACAAACAAAACAGGCGTAAAGACTGACCGGCTTTGGATTTCTCAAAAATCCTCGCTTCAACTTAGAAAAACAGTTTGGTTTTTGTTAAGCTGTGATTCTTTCCTGAAATTTGCATCAGCAGTCAGTATCTTACCTGCAGTAGATTGCTGTCAAACTATTTGTTGTTGTTTTTTTCCCCCCCAAGTAAACAGTCATGTAATATTACCGTCCCTGGCAGGTGAGATACCGATGACAACGTTGCACTTCAAAAAATCAGTCAGCTTTAATGTTGACTGATTTTCTTTTTAGTGCTTAATCTTTATTGTAAAAGAAAAATGACACTAAATTTCTTCTGATGATAAATAGTACCTGAAAAATATAAGAATACCAAGAGCCAGTACCAGCGCCACCAAGGACAAGGAATAACCCACTGTGTACATGATCCGGATACATCTATAACAAATCTGCAAAACAATGGATAAATACATTTATGAGAGTTAAACACAGTGTTGCAATACCCTACTTTCTTATTTTGGGATTTTGTAAGTACTATTTTCAATATATTTTTTAATTTAATCTTTGCAGTCCTTTGATATTCAAGAGTTCTTAGTATTTAAGCCACCTTTCACTTAACAATTAGCACACTAAAAATATATTTAATGTGTCAGTAAAATTGTTATTGTTTCTAAAATATTTGCATCATCCTTGTGTCTCTTAAAATAATTATGTTTACATATTTTTCTCACCTGGTCTGTATTATTGCTTTCACACTGAGTGGTATTGTACTTAGTCACCCACTGGCCGCTGGCATCACAGTCCTGATATACCATGCCGTTTTGAACTATGTGCAAAAACACACACAAACACAGACTTTCAAACAGAAAATATTATTATCACAGACAGTTGTCTGTTTATGATAGTTATCATCAGTTTCTTTCAGTCAACATATTTAAAACGCTGACCTTCATGGTACCACGGCAAATACCACGGGCACGCCACACCGACGGTGGTGTTGGGGAATCCATCAGGCCAGCAGGCATAGTCGTCAAACGTCCTGTTGCACACAAGACCTGAGGGTGAAAACAATAAGGCAAAGTAAAAACAACATTAATACCGTCCTTGGATGCTCGTTTTTGACTGTTTAAGTTTCAAAACGGTCTTTGAAGTAATGTCTGCTGGAAGTTATTATCTGGAACATTCTGGTTTTTCCTCTCAAAATCACCCTTTCCACGTGTCATTATGTCTCTCATCAGTGGACATCAGTCAGGATTGTGAGAGTATAGACAGCTGGAAGGTCTGGGGGACAAAGTAATGTATCCTTTGTTCTGTATAGCTGCTTAGCTGCTCTCACACTAATGGAACAGCAGGGATGTTATATGAGAGCTGCCGTGTTGGAGAGCTGAGAGGTACAATTTTGTATAAAGTGTGGGAAGCAGTTTGTTTTAAAAGATGAGGCAAAACTTTCTAATGGGGAGTAATGCACCTGAAGAGCTAAATTCACCTAATTGTTGAATACATTCTTACTTCTTCTTTTTACTTCTCACCCAGAGTTCACATGCAGTTAGAGAGCTATTTCACTGGCTGTTCTTTAATCCTACTATCTTTATTTTTTGTTTGTTTTGCTCTGTTACATAAAAGGTTAGTTTCAAGTACTTTTGAATCTTAACTGAATCACTAGATCACACAACTTTGGTCAAACTGATAGTGTTTGACTCAAATAAAGCAAAGCAGTAAAAATAACAAAATAAACATCATGATGATTAAGTGGAGAGGTAAATGTTGCGTTCATTCTCTGTTTCCATGTTTTTAGGGATCATAACTCATCCACACCTGGTATTTCACAAATTTCTTGATTCAACATTATGTGATTCATGTCATCTTTAACTTCCAAAGGTGGAACTGGTGCAAACCTACTCTTAATTGTTGGTGACACAAGGTGAAAACTGACTTCACTACAATTTTTTTCTCTGAAAGTTCAGCAGTAACAATAAGCCAGGAATGAAAAAAAAAAAAAAAAAAAAAAAAAAAAAATAGATCTAATATCTAAAGCTCACCACTGCTGGGCTGGTATTGACTGTTGTTGTATTCACATTCTGTCCTATACCGTTTCCAGTCGTCCTTCAGTTTATCCAGGGTAGCAGCAGGAGACATCTGATTAGACACACACAGGAGGAAATTCAATAAAAGGTGCAGTGATGTCCTAAAGATCTGCTACCTGTGGATGCTGTGATCAGACCAAGTAAACAGTTCAATTAAACTGTTAAAAAACACTTCCGACAAAAACTTGTTAGTAAATTGTAATATATTAATCTGACTGGAGATAAAGTTTAATATGTAAACAATTACTCTTTAGATACAGATCCATGTGGCACAATGTCAAAAGTAAGAGCTTGAGTGTTCTGTTACTGTGTTTTTTACATGTTAGGCTTGTGTGAAATATTTATTTACTGGTTGAAAAGGCAGCTGTCGCAAAAATACTTCATCTAAATATAAGGATGATGGCACAGAGGCCTTCCACCATCAAAGATTTGAAGCTTGTTGCTAAAGATGAAAGGAGAAGTGCTTAAAAACCTTACAGTGCTTTTAAAAAAAGTATGAAATCTATTTTTGTTTAAATGTAAATTACAATATTATTTATCTCTATCCACTTTGTACATTGTCCTATAGAATAGAAATAGGTGGATAATTTTACAATTAAAGGTGTAGAATAGGATTTTTGTTTCTGGAAATGCCCAAGTCTTTTTTCTTTAATTGAGCTTCTAAATCACAAATAGCCCTAAATGTTATCAATGCACACAACACTTGGAAGTAAAGAACAACTCATGTTTTGTATTTCCATGTGTTTACCATCATTGGACAGCTTAGGATCCAGACTTTCAGGATCTGTAATTCTGAAACAATTTGTGGTTTTGTCATAGCTCTTCACATTTACCAAATACAGCATGTATGAACAAAGAAAACGACAATAAGTACTTTAAGAGGCTAATATTTGCATGTATGGTTGTACATGTTTAGATGTGTCATTGCGGGTAAATTTTAAGTGAGGTGGTCCATGTTAAATGGGTTAAGTGGTCCTCACCCTGAAGAAGTTTGAGAAGCACTGGTTTATACCAAAGAGCTACTTCTGTGACCCACCTGGATGCTGCACGAGACAATGAGGACTGCCAAAAAGAGGAACAGCCGTGACATCCCTTATTCCTGCTGGTGGTGCTGGGAGGGGATACTGCAGGATGGGAAGAGCTTTTCACCTCATAAGGGGCTTATCTACACACGCCACACAGCCTGAGGGACACAGAGACACACAATCCATCAAAGCTCATTGAAAACACATTAACTTGACTCATATTAGCCCTACTTAACAAGATGATCAAAACAGGAAAAGGTTGGGCTGTGTCTACACCAGTGCAATTTTTCCAGATTGAGAAAGCAGGCAAATAAAAAAAAACACACATAAATGAAATCTAAGTTTATCTAAATAGGCTAATTTGGAGCAGAAAGGGCATCCACTGAGAGCATGATAAGTCCTAATTCAGTCTTTGTTTTAAAAAGCAAAGCTTGGCAACTGAATAAAGCACCAAGTTGTTGGGGACATTAAGTACAAGGTCAAAAGCCTCCAGGAACTACTTCTATCAGAGAGAGAGACGGTTACAGCAGGGAGGAGCTCCACTCACTCAGTGACTCGCAGTTGGCTGCACTTTCTCGTTAAAACCGATCAGTGTTTGGTTGAGTGTGTCTCAGTGTGTGCCAGAGGTCACTCACCTGGCCATCGATCACCTCCAGCTCCCAGCGGACTCGAGCGAAGCCGGAGAACGGAACGAAATCTGAAACGTTTCTGCAAAAAACACCTTGACCATAGAAACATTTTTGGCTAAAACGTTTCAAATTCCATTCTGTTCCAGTTCTGTGGCACATTAGAGGACATCATGCTGATGTGTTTAGCTTACTGGCAGGTATTTGTGCAACAGATAAGAGCAGTGTGTCATGACAGATGGACAAGTTGTGATGCATGGAATCCAGAAAGCCATATTCAACACTGTCACTGTGCAGTCTAAGCTGTCAACAACAAGACTCTGAAATATTGACTCAAACTGCAGCTGGAATGTTCTAGCCACCTTTTGCTGCACTTCTGGAAGTCAAATACGATTAAATATGAACCAAAAAAACCAACTTCCTAAATGGGTTGTGCAGTGTAATAACTGCTGGATGCATTAGCAGCAGCACAGAAGGATTGTAGTATTTTCTCAAAGCGGCGGAGCTACTGTTGTCTGGCTTGACATCGGGTCAGGATCGGTACCGCTGATATAAGAACGAAGAGCCTTGCACATTTTCATACAATCAGATATAATGTGGTCAGCGACCTTTGTTTATGAAATGTTTCTGCAACAATTTGAGGTTGAGCAAAAGCCAATATTATGAAAACAACTTATTATGAGCCACACTCTGTGCTCTGAGCGACTGCATCTGAAAGCTCTACATTTTGTGAAATATTGTGTTTTACAAGAGATTAGCCAGATGTAATTTGGGTTTCATCACAATTATTTTAAAAATTATTTCATCATTTTTTCTGACAATTAATTGATCAATTGGATAAAAAAAAGTGGCACATTGTGCGGATTTTTCATTTTACTAAAGTGTTTTTACGTAATAAACAGATAATTAAATTCATTTTTGAAATGAGAAAATACACATTTTATTGCCTAAAGTATACTTTAGTGTACAATATATAGAAAAAGTTGCACCAGAAGGTAAAAATACTGTAAACACCTAAATGTGAAAAGCTCAACTCTTTCACTGTGATTTAACTTCAATACAATTTACTACTTCATTACTGACGTACTACCAATTAAAAATTGGAGAGCAAAAGGTGCTTACTAGAAGATTTAGCTTTTTCCAAATAAATTAAATGTATTTATTTTTTGGCTTAATTACTGCATGTTGTTCTTTGGCCTTTCTTTTAAGTATGTCTACTCCAGATAACAATTAATTTATTACTGAATTAGCTGACAACTATTTCAATAATCGATTCATCACAATAATTACGATTAATCGATTCAGCCCCAGAAGAGATGTAAATCAGAGATCATCCTGTTGAATAACTACATAGAATGATTTCTAATTTTTCCTTCTTCACACACACACACACACACACACACACACACACACACACACACACACACACACACACATACCCACCCATAGACACACACACACACACCACACACACACCTACCCCCCCCCACACACACACACACACACCACACACACACACACACACACACACACACACACACACAACCCCCCCCCCCACACCCCCCCCCCCCCCCCCCCCCCCCCCACACACACACACACACACACACACACACACACAAAAAGACACTCTCTCTCCCCCAGAAGGTAACACATTCGGAGGCAAATTTTCCCCAGCCACCCATCTCGCACCACATTGTGCAACTTAGTACTAAAGACACACAATGATTAACGAAAGTGATCCCCACAGGAGAGATTACGAAAGGAAGGGAAACAGAGAGATCGGGTTTTGGCAAAGTGTGGGGGAGTGGAAAAAAAACAGAAACTGTCCCAACCTGGCCTCTGACCACATTACTATGTTCACAGGCAGCTTTTAAAAAAGTTGAGCAGGAGTAATGACTGTGATATAGAATATTATTTAAAATTTACAGTCTCTGTCTCAGGAGAAAATCTCTACAAGGATTTTACTACAAATCTGATCATTTACGGCTTTGATTTGCTTTATGTCTGCATCATTCCCACCACAGCTGATTATGCTTGGGCCTGTTTCACGATACACTGAGGTTTTAAGAAGTTATGTTTCGAAAACCATAGCAATCTTCTGTCAGGCCATTTCTCGGTTTAATATCCTTTCAGGGAGATGATTCCTGAAAACATGCTGGAGAGACTGGAGTTTCCTCTGGCTGCATGAAACATACAATCACACACCACAAAATATTATCCTATACTTTAAATATCAAAATCAAAAGAATGACACAAGCTAATAATATTACAACTGCCATATTACTATGACAGCCATATTATTTTGACAGCAAAATGACTAATTGTTGATTTCCTTTAAAGCAAAAGCAATAAGACATGAATGTGTTTATGTTCATTTGAATACAGTACTACCAATGACAAAATATGTTAAAATCATAATTGAAAGATCTCATACTGGCTCATATGTGAAGCCAAAGGTAAAAACAGTGTTGCTTGTAATAGACAATATTGCTAAAGTTGCAAAAAAAAATTTTTTAAGACAAACTGTTTCTGTTATCCAGAAGATTGGATGTATTTGGGTGTCGTCACTGCAGGATAATTAGGCCCACATGGCACATGTAGTGAGAGCTGAGGTAGGACTAATGAGCGCCAAGGTGTGAGGCTAATAAGGCTTATAAATCTGGCTGTTTTAATGACATGGTAGAGCTGCTGCTGCTGCTGCTGCTATGGTCTGCCAGCCAAAGATATTTCCAGGTCCATCAGGAAACATGTTGTTTAGCATCACTAACTCTAGGTTACAGCAAATATCCCCGAGCTTTTTCTGTTGCTTCTGCACATCTTGATTTCAGGTTGGAGGACAGCTGAGGGGCTGTGAAGGCAGAGGCAGAGCTGACCTCTTGGAGTCGTTCGGGTGAGTTTCCTTGAGGCTATTTCAGCCAAAAACATGTACCCATATCATCTTATTCCCCGCTTTTGTCTGCTAAGCAAAAACCGTACCCCACTCCTTGTCTAAATTACACTTCTGTGCAAATTTATTTACATTTCTTGGGAAAATACGCTTAAAATTAGGCTAGGATGACGCACATGCTCCAACTATCTAATAAAGTGTTTTTTTATTTATTTATTTTTTTTTTTAACTCACTCTGTGCTCAAGTGGATGTTGAATGGCTTAATACAATGGCCACTAACAATTACTGTTGTTTGCTGGAGAGTACTTGCCTTTCATTGTGCTGTCTAGCAAATAACATTACAAAAGGAGAGTATGCATGATTGAATGTTGTGCAGAGGGGAGAAGCAAGGACTAAAAACAAACCTCTTTGAAAAAAACAACAACCACCCAGCCTGGAGATGTGCCTGTGATCTTCAATCTACCATCCACGTTTCAAAACAAGGTACAAGACTCGATGCAGAAACATCCTGCACTTTTCATCTTCCAGGGCTTTGGTTCACACTCTGAAATAGTTGAAAGTCATTTTAAATTACCGTAAAAGAAAATAGCGCCGATGATTCTGAAAACTGCAGCACAATTCAGTTCATGAAGTTATGACCCGGGGCGAAGCCTGGTAGGCCTCATACCTCAGGGAAGCAGATGGTGAAATGCATAGGAGGGTGAAGCAGAGTTCAGAATGAACAAGGCATCATGCTGAAATATGTTCTTACAACTTGTGGCAATCTTTTATGACTGCATGAAAACTGAGCAGCTATGAACGTTTTGATTGTTTGACGTTGCACATAAAATCAGACGCTTTTGTGTTGCATCAGAAAACAACAAAATTCAACTTAAAGGACTTCAGGCTGAAATCTAGATGTCTTGGATCTTAATTTTACGCTAAAACTATTTTTTTGCCCTTCAATGTTCAATGTGCATGTTAAAGTGAAGAAAAGTGTTAAGTTTCTCACTCAAGCACACTTTCGCCAACTGAATTGGGAAAGTCTTGAAGACAGTCGCACATTTTTTGGCAGGGCCAGAAAACAAAACAGAGTTTGTTTGCCTCTACCAACACAAAGAGGCAAACAAACTCTGACTACCTAGGATTTTTTTAGGCCAGCAGCAACAAATCATACAATAAACTTACCCATCTAGTGTTCTATCCATTCAACCTTTACCATGATTACACAAGCATTGCTCATCTGGAGGCACATTTGAAATTCTGTTAACTCTCTACCTTTCATCTGTACGGATTTTGCACATATGCCTAAAAAAACTCAACACAGCAAACCGACAACTGCATATTGAGTGAGCAGGCGTAGCGCCAACTGGAGTGTCAAAGACTTTCGCAGAGGAACGTTAGATGCATCTCCAGAAGGTCATTGATGGCAAAGTTACAGTTTAGATCACTGTGAGTCAACAAATACGTCCTGACAAGCAGCTTTCCTGCCCTACTTCACTGAACCATGTACTGTCAAATATTCATTAAACTGCAGCACAAGACTAAAATGCTGCAGCTGAGTGCACACGGAGAGCAACCTGTCGCATTGAAATGTCTAAAAATAAATCAAGAAGTATGCCTTCATGGACTACTGTGCAGTCACTAGAAGGTAAACATCAGTCT